GGAGCTCTTACAGCTCTTGTAACAATCCATACATCATTTGTATCAAGCACATTTGTACATATGTTTCCATCATCATTTTAAAAACATTTTCGTTCTACTTGAGCCCTTGGTAACTGTAGCTCTTGATGAGAGTAGAAAGCCCTCTTTCTCCCGCTTAGTACAAGTGCTGAGCAAGAGCTAGGGGGAGGTGCACCCACATTTGCCTGTCTCTCTCTCCAAGGTCTTGAAAGTGGAGAAGAAATGCCATGGGTGGAGAGAAGGCATGGTCACCCATCAGGATGTTGGAAGAAAAATAATACAACTTAGTTATGTACTTCATCCACTTGGTCACGTGTGGATCCTACAAAGGGATTTTGGGCTTCCACTGTCATCCAGGTGTTCACAGTTTAACCTCTGATACCATTCTCCTTTAGATTTGCATTATATTATTTGCAATCCTTGGATCACAGAGGCTGGTTTGCTTCTTCCATGTGGACTTAGTTGATGCCTCACTTAGATGGCTACTTGTTTGAAAACAAGCTTTTAAGACCCCAGACATTATTCTTTCTGATAGCTGGGCACCATCTAGTTTCTTCACCACACTTTGCTATAGTATCCATATCTTTAGTGATCTCATGGGGCCAGATATCAAGCAGGGCCACATTATAAGAACATCTGTGGTTGATATCTGTCTCTGGTTCACCTTAGAGGCATCCCTGTCACTTTATGTTAGAGAACATTGTCAATCATCCTCCTGGGGCATCACTTCCACTGCCACCAAGTCAATGCTGACTCATAGTGACCTTATAGGACAGGATAGAACTGTCTCTGTGAGCCTCCTAGCCTGCAAATCTTGACAGGCGTAAATAGCCACATCCTTCCCCTTAGGAGCCAACTGGTGGTTTTGAACTGCTGACCTTGAAATTGTCACCCAATGTGTAACCACAATATGCCACATTGATAAGTGGCATCAGTTTAAGAGTGGCATGTGTTGGCCATGTGTAAATGAACTCACGTCTCTTGGAGAAATAAATGGGTTCCACCTTGGATCACTGCTGTTGGCAATGTGATCTCGGGTCCTGCCTTTCCACCTGAATTCTTTCCCAGTGAGTGACTGTTCTTCCAAAGCCCGCGAGGAGGAAGGACCGTGCCACCTCCTGGGCTTCTTTCCTCAGCCAGGCCTCCTGAGCTGAGAGCACCGCCGGCCTCTCCTCTCTCTCCAGACGCAGACGGGGAGGAGTTCTTGGACCTGCTTGACGTGCTGCTGCGGCGCGCCCAAGCCTGCGTCCCTCGACTGGTGCGGGTGGATGAGTTCCACATCAGCCTGTCCCACAGCGTGGTGCTGCGCCACCACTGGATCCTCCCCTTCGTGCAAGCTCTGAAAGACCGTGTGGCCTCCCGCCACAGGTGAGTGCTCCCCAGCCTCTCTCCTCCCTTCCCTCCGACCTCCTGTGGGACAACTCGGGGCATACATCACCCCAGTCAGCAGGCTGATCTAAAGGTCAGGCCCCTGGGTACGTCCCAGGACTGCCTGCTGTGCGCCTTTTCCTTATGAAGTCCCCTGTAGGCAATCAGGATGAGTGGATGGTCACTGGTGCTTCAGGAAGTCGGGAAATAAGGGCTGACTGGGCAATAGACTGGTAGTTGCTCATGTGGGAGTTCACGTTGAAGCTGAAGAAAATGTTGTGGTAGATAATTCAGAAATGGTTGCAGCAGGATATCGATAAGGAACTGCCCAGAAACTCTAGCCAGATCCAGAAGAGGGCCTGGCCAGGGAAGACTGTTGCTGGTATCGATCCTGGCTGAAAGCAGAGACTGCCAGAGAGATGCTCCCCTGTCTTTCTTTGATATGCAAAAGGTTTCAACTTGGTGGATCGTAACAAGTTTGTGGATCGTAACAAGTTCGTGGATCATGTGGTAGTCACCTAATCTGGTGTCAATTTAAAGATTAAGAGTGTAAGGGTGGAGTCTAGGCTGTCAATCTGGAGATAGCCAATGAGACTTCTGTGTGGGCATGGCCTTCTCCTGAGAATTCTGGGAAATCTGGTACTTTCTCCTTGGAGGCGGTAGACACTTCTTTCTCTCTGCTACTCCGAGAGACATTGTAGAAGACGAGCCACATGGATATAACCAGACCTCTGAAGCCAGAGAAGCCACAGAGAGACCCCTCCCAGCACTGAGATGCTTACGCCACTGATCCCAAAGACTTTCTACCCACTGGCATGTGATCGTCCTGCATTTGGCTTCATTGCATGTGTTTCATGAGTCTGAAGAGGACTTTATAGATTGGTGTCAGACATATGGGCTACTATCAGACTTATGGACTTGATCTGGACTGGGCTGGAATGTTTTCTCAATGATCAATTGCTCTTGAATATACAGCTCTTTCTTATCCACATAGGTGTGTCAATGGATTTGTTTCTCTAGTCTACCCAGACTCACACAGATAACATCACAAAGAATGAGAAGTCCAGGACCCTTAATTGTGCTCCCGGTGACCTATACATAGACCACGAGGAAGTGATTGCCCCCCAAGCCAGGTGGAAGGCTGTGTGTCAGGGTTGTAGGCTCTCACCATACTTATTCCGTTGGTACTCAGCTAGTCACCCCCGTAGCTGGACTCTGTGAAGAACAGGACATGAGGGCTGGAGGGAGGCTCGTGACCAGCCGGCATGGCCTGCTGGCTGAAACACGGATGGCGATCGAAGATGACAGCTTGCAGTGTGAAGGACACGTCAACACCAAGTCCCCACCTCGACAGGTGGATGGAAGACTGACGTGGTCGCACATTTTCTTTGACGTGGAGCCACGGTCAGGGCTCACGGAAGCAGCAGCTACAGTCAAACGGGCAGTTCTGCTGCACAAGCCCTCCTTCCAGTGTTCAAAAGCAAAAATGTCACCGAGGCCCAAGTCACCCCTGACCAGGTGTTTTTCAGTTACCTCCCATGTGTGCAAAAGCTGCACAGTGAATGAGGAAGATGGGAGCATCGATGCCTTTGGTTTATGGTGTTCGTACAAAGAATATTAACTATACCGTGGACTTACACACCCACGTGCACGCACACACGACCGCCAGAAGCATGAACAAATCTAAGACGACATACAGCCAGAATGCTCTTTAGTAGCCATGAGTGTCTCACATACTGTGGGCATGTTTCAAGATGGCCAGCCAGTCCTTGGAGAAGGACACCATGCTTGATAAGGGGGTTGGCAAAAGGGACGGAGACCCTTGGCAAGGTGGGCTGGCACAGTGGCTGCAATCATGGGCCCAAACCTAGCAAAGATTGTGAGGATGGCCAGGACTGGGCAGAGTTTCTCCCTCTGTTATACAGAGGGATGCTATGGGGTGAAGCACCCAGCACCAGCAAAACAAAGCCTCGGGCTGCTCACCTTCCTGCCAGAAAGTAAGCCTCTGTTCCCATCACCAACGTTGAGCCAGTGGGCGATCGGGGCATAGAGTATACGGCTGTGCACGCCGTCTGACTCATGCTGGCGTCCCCGCATCTGAGGGCGCGCTGTGTGCCTTGGACTTGTGACCGGGGCCTTGTCTAGTTCTAACGTCGAGGTTTGTTGCTGCTGCCATTTGCCACCTGTGTGATGGGGGAAACCAGACGCATTTTCAATGTGCGGACATAAACATTTTTCCTGAATGAAGATGATTATGGTGATGCGCTTCCTGAAATGTGGACTTTTTTTTTTTTTCTCTTCGTCTAACTTTCAGGTTTGTCTTTATTGCTAACCGGGTAAAGATTTATACCAATCAAGAGAAAACCAGGTGAGTGTACCCCAATGTACCCCCAACCCGCAACTCCCACCCTAGATCACTAACACTAGACAATCCCTCAGCACACAGATTAGGGGTGCTCACTCCTGACCTTGCCTGCCCTGGCTGTTTGCGCGTTTGTCTCTTAACAAACTCTTTAACCATCAGAAAGAGCCCCAGTATTGATATGGTGAAACCTGTTCACCAGAAGGTTGGCAATCCAACACACCAGCAGCTCAGCTGTAGAAAAGACCTGGTGATCGGCTTCCTTAAAAGATTAAAACCAAAACACCAAGCCCACTGCTTCGAGTCAGTTCTGGCAGTTGTATGTGGCAGTCCTATAGGGCATGTTTATGGAAGCAAATTGCCCACACCTTTCTCCTGCAGAGCACTGGGTGGGTTTGAACCCCCGCCTGGTGGGTTAGAGCCAAGTGCTTGCCGCTGGGCTACCAGGGCACCTCCGGACAGCGGGCAGCTCTGCTCTTTGCTCGGGAGCTGCTGTAAGGAGAACCGACTTGGCCGAATACCACAGCGGTGTGACCCCAAAGGTGACCCTTCCCGCTCCGGAACCCAGCCGTCCATTAAGAAAAAGAACAGGGGAGGGGCAGTGTCTGGGAAGCAGAAGCTGAGAACAAACACCATCCTGGTAGAGTGAAATTAAAAAGCAAAACCCTTGTAGGCCTGGAAGTCCAAGAACTTGCATGGTTGGCTCTGCTGTGCCCCAGTGTGACATTGGGCTCATCTCTCCCTCTGTAGCCTTCCGTTTCCACGCCACCTAATGCCCTTCCCTCTCTCCTCACCCTCCCCGCCCCCATACATCCATCCCTATGGACTTGAGAGGTTCCGATGAGTTGAGCGAACGTTAAATACTTAAAGGCCTTAAAGAACTCATGAACTGAAGAAGGCATTATTGTTATCAGAGCTTCGGAGTGAGCCAGCTGTGGGCCCTCATTGGGTTGAGCCCCTCTCTAGTCCTCTCCAGAAGGAGGCACATCCCACCCATCCCAGTCTGCACAACGTGTGCCAGGCCCTTGTAGGAGGCTCAGCCCTGCTCTCAGGAATCCTACACGCTTCAGGGGGGACAGACGTAAACACTGTTGTTCGGTGCTGTCCAGTCGGTTCCTCGTGGCAAGCCTGTCTGTGGGAACAAGACACTGTTCTTAGGCCGTCCTCACAGTTATTCCAACCTCGGAGCCTGGGGTTGCAGGCTCTGTGTCAACCCATCACATCCAGGGTCTGCCTCTTTGGGGCTGCCCCTCTACTTTCCAAGCACAACTGTCCTTCACCAGGGGCTGGTCCCTCCTGAGAACAGGGCCAGAGTATGTGGGACCAAGTTTTGCCATCCTCGCTTCTAGGGAGCATTCTGCCCACCCTGCTGCCCAGACAGTTGTCGCCTGTGTGCCTTCAGTGTTGTTGGCCAACGGCACCGTCCAAGTGCACCCACTCTGCTCCCCTTTCCTAATTCACAGTCCAGGTTTCAGTCAGGCTCACAGGCACGCCTGTGCCCACAGAGCGGCACCTTCCTACCCTGCAGAGAAGCCGGGGCCACAGGTGTGCGCTGTGTTGGGCGTCAGTGAGTGAGATAAGTAGAGCTAAGCGTGATTGAATCGAAGCGGGTGGCCCAGGAGGCACCAAGAAGGTGACACTTGGTGACAACCTGAGCTGAAAGGGAGCCAGCCTTGGGACAGGCTGCCACAGGAGCCCTCCCAGCAGAGGGCATGGCAAGGAAAGTGATTCCAGGGTGTGTTCAAGGGGAGGAGGGTGGCAGGAGTGGAGGGGCAGGGTTGAATGAGACCTCCCAGTGTAACGGAAGCCACTGGAAGAGTTTGAGCAAAAACTAGACATGATCTGATTTCAGTTTGTAAATGCTCGGTCCGGCTACATTGTATCCTGGCTGATGTGTCGAAGAAAAGATGGGAGGCAGCGAGGGCAGACCCAGGAAGCGAGTGTAGATCCGGTAGAGCTGTGAGGAGCCAGCCGTTCTCCCCATCGGGACCCGAGTGTCCTGGACCAGAGCGATGCTGGTGGAAGAGCCTAAACTGGAGAGAATCAAGTGGCACGAGCTAGGGCTCGGGTTCGGGTGTGGATTTCTGGGCTTGGGTGTGAACAGCTGGCTGACCAGTGGGCCCACCGTTGGATCAGAAACTCCAGTGGAATGAAAAGCACAAGTTCTGCTTTGTCCACGTCCACCCCCAGGTAGTAAGCGTTACACGCCCAGGTGCAAGTGTCACACAGGCAATTAGATTCACAGGGGAGGTGCCAGCGGAGGTGGCACTTTAGGCATCGGTCCGTATTTAAAGTGGGGGGCTAGGTACAGATGAAGAAGATAGAGGGTTGATCTCTGCATCCCTCCACCATTTCCTAGCTGGAAAGAAGAGAGGACGGCAAAGGAGGTGCTTGGGCAAGGAGGCCAGGGCTCGGCCCCCACCAGGAATGCCCAGTCCGTGTGTCTCCGAAGCCAAGGGAGAGGTCCTGGTGGGGAGTGGCCAGCCACGTTGGATGCTGAGCAGTTAAAACGCGGATCCGTTGGATTTGGTCTCATGGAAGCCATTGGGAACTTTGACAGGAGCCATTTGGGCAAAGTGGCTTGAAGAAAAGTGAAGGCACTGAGGCAGCGCGGAGGGATTCAGCTCTTTAAGGCATTTGGCTGAGCGCGGGGGCTCTGAAAGATGAGCTGCAGTGGAGGGATGGTGGGGTGGAAAGGGGGCACCAATCACAGGGCTCTCATATAACCTCCTCCCTGGGGGACAGACAACAGAAAAGTGGATGAAGGGAGACGTCGGACAGTGTAAGATAAGACACAATAATAATCTGTAAATTATCAAGGGTACATGGGGAGCAGGGAGGGAGGGGGTAAATGAGAAGCTGATGCCAAGGGCTTGGGTGGAGAGCAAATGTTTTGAGAATGATGAGGACAACGAATGTACAGATGTGCTTTACGCAATAGATGGATGGATGGATTGTGATCAGAGTTGTGTGAAGAAAGATGAGCTGCAGCGTGTCTGCGCTACCGCCGAGGAGCACAGCCCTGGGGAAAGGGCTGGCCGGAGAGCACGGTTGGTCGCAGAGGGGTGTGTAATGGGGAACAGGGCTGCAGAAGCCTCTGGGTTGGTAGCTGGAGGTGGTCAGACCTTGAGAATGGGGAGAGAACATTAGTATTAGGTCAGGAAGGCTTGGCAATGGAGGGGGAAGACTCCGAATTTTGATCCCAGAGTTGCAAGAAGAGCCCCAATCAAAAGAGGGGAAGTGCAGAAGAGAACTTCGAGTGTCATAGACTGCAGGCTTCCTGGAGCCATGGCAGCTGGCTAAGCCCCGAAAGAACCATTGCCCTGAGTCACCTTTAAACCTTGAGCTAAAAATCTCCCCTGACATGGTCGTCTGTAACCCAATCGTGAACGTAGCCTCATTGGTCTGTAACCTAATCATGAATGTAGCTTCACTCCACTGGGTGTCCACCTTGAGCACTAAACTGTTTTAGGAAACTCCCTGTGCTGAATCCTATTGCCAGCAGCAATTCAGCAGGTGAGACGCGAGCCTTCGGGGACAGGGAATTTAGGCTACTGGAGGAGGAACAGCTCCAACGTCACTGGATTGGCCACAGAGAGACTGTTCAACTAATCGATGTTCTGTTGTATGTTCTCAACAGCAACCACACACATAAAACTAAACTGAAAACACACAGGGAAGATAATGAGCTCGGCGAAGATACAGAGAACACAGAACCCTTAGCCGAAGAATGAAGAGTGGGTGCGGGGGAAGAGGTGGGGTCAGCATTCACTGCCCTGACATCGGGGTCTTCTCTGGGACCTCCCCTGTCCCAGTTTGGTGTTCTCTGAGGCTGCCTCTCCCATCGAATGATCCCCACTTCTCCCTGCCCCCAGGACCTTCGTTGGGCTTGAAGTCACCTCAGGGCACGCCCAGTTCCTGGGCCTTGTGGCAGAGGTGGACAGCGTCATGGAAGAATTTGACCTCACCACCTTCTACCAGGTAATGTCTGGGGCAGTCTCCTCTACTGGCCCACCTGTCACTATTGGGAAGCCCTCGTTAGAGGCAAATTGAGGAGCCCTTACCCCAAGGGCTTTCCCTTGGGGGAAGGACTGGAGATTCCCATCTTACGAGGGCACCACCCCACCCTCACCTCAGGGTCTGAGGTGTGCCCGAGGCAGCTCCCTGAAAGCCCAGCAAGTGTCCCACTTCCTTTGTTTCCTGTGCACGGGATGTGTGTGCATTCTGCTCCGTAGTGTATTCTTGTTTTTTTTGAAGTGTCGCTTCCCTCAGTGTTTATTAGTGAAATTGGTGTGCCGTGGGGGACTGTAGCTTCGGGCACCGCCCTCCCGCGCCTTGTCCAGAGCCTAAGAGGACCATGTGGCCTCCACCTTGATTTTCATCCTGTAAAGGGCCATTGGTTTGTAAAGGTAGAAAAGTATGGATTCCCACAGAGATGATGAGCGGGTCTTCATAATTGTAGGCATTTTTGTTTACATTCATTTTGTCTTCAGAGTATTGAGTGTGGCATCTGGTTGAATGTTCGAGACCAGGAAAGGGAGTCGGAGCCTGGGTTCTCGTCCAAAACCAAACTCACTGCCATCACGCCAATGCCGACTCATCACAACCCCATAGGACAGGGTAGGACTGGCCCTGTGGGTTTCCAAGACCACCGCACCTCTGTAGACAGCCCTGCCTTTCTCCCGGTGGAGCGCTGGTAGTTTTGAACTGCTGACCTTGGGAGGGTCACAGCCAAACTCAGAACCACTGCACCCCAGAGCTCCTAACAATTCTCTGATAACTAACAGTGTAGCTGAGGAAAGGACCGACCCAAGGCTGTTTGTCAGTGTGTGGAGCATGCGTGGGGGGTGCAGACCAAGGAGCCCACGGAAGCAGCCACTGTTCAGCTCAGCCACAGTCCAGCCTGTCCTCCCCGGGGTCCTCTCCCTGGGACCTCCTTGCTCTTCCTCTCCAGGACCCGTCATTCCACGTCAGCCTGGCCTGGTGTGTGGGCGATGCGCGGCCCCAGCTGGAAGGGCAGTGCCTGCGGGAACTGCAGGTAACATCCCAGCATGGGTCATGGGTGGCCTCCGGCGGGGAGAGGGAAGCCACTTGGCCTTGAGGATTAGGAATCCAAGACAGGGTCCCTGGGACACCGATGACCTCGTTGGAGGCCTAACGTCCC